GCCAAGAGCCGCAGCGTGGGGCACACTCCCATATGTATCTTCATCGTTAAATAAAGTTGATCCGAGCGAGAATAATTGTATATCATAATGTAATGCCGATACCTTTTTTGCAAACCGCAATAACGATTATGTAAATCGAATCGATTTTCATCCTAGTTTGGGCCTGTCAATAATAATAATTTTTGGTTTATAGATTATACATAAATGGTGTATATATATATTGTGTATATTGTGTTAATAGTTTAGGTCTATTAATAATAAATATAGCTTACACCCACTTTATATATACCTGTTAATTAATTCTTTTGCATAGTATTAAAACGATGAATTTGGTAATTTAATTGGTTAAATTAATATGGTATATACATAAAAATCAACCAATTAGAAGAATTTCTGGATATCAATTACCCCCCCGAGACTCATATTGGGAAAACCCCTACTTGAAAGCAAGTGTCAACCATTTTCCTAGTCCATTCCCATATTACCGAACCGTCCTTATTTAAAGGGCTACATAGACTAACTAACCAATCAAATCAAATCAAACAAAAAGCCAAGAAAGCAAAAAAAAACATAAGAAACGACCGTCTAATCCTGTCTTGTAGTATAAATGAAATATTTTAGGTGAGTCATATAATACATGCCAATCCTTACAACTCTAACCAATAATTTTAGTTACTTCACTACCAAATAAGGAAATCTAAAAATGGTTTAGTAATATTTGGTCACCCGAGGATAATCCAGACTCAGCTCTAATGAAGATCCTTTTAGACTGACCCGATTTCCACCCCATTAAACCCAATTTATAATTATTTTATAATTATTTATGATAAAAAAAATGATAAATTCATATTTTCACGACTCATTTAGATTGACGATGCTCTAAATAATATACACGAATAATGTATTCGTGATCGATGCGCATGAATGTTTTTAACTCGCATGGATTTTTTTTGGTAGTACAAGTACTTGAATGCACATCAACCGCAGGCATGGTTGTGCAATACATCTTGTTTTCATCTCTAGTCGTGGAAGACCAAGATTCGTGAACATTTATTTATTGAATACTACGAAGAATATTCAAAGGACTCAACCTTTATATATAACCTTTAATATTGTATCTTTTTTTTTTTTTTTACAATTTAGGAACGCAAATTCTTTTTTTTTTTTACAGTTCAGGAAACGCAAATTGTTTCTCTATTTAGTTCATTATTGGCATTAATTAAGTTAATTAAATATAATTCCTGCCCCTGACTACATTCTATATTAGAACAATCGATAAATGATTAACAAATATATTAGATTCCTTGACACGATATACCGATATCAAACGTATACGTTCGTACATATTTGCATCTTAACAAATGCCATATCAAATATACAACCAAAAGTACGCCAACTGGCGTCCCTTCTGGAAAGGGATAAATAAAAAGAAAAAGAAAAAGAAAATACATGACCAAACATACAATGCTGATGATGCTTCCATAAAAGAATTCACAACTGCTACAAATTACCTTCATGCTCGGCTACCACCTAAACTTTCCGAACCAAAAGTAGCAATCATATGTGGTTCAGGACTTGGACAATTAGCTGATGTTATCACTGATAAAGTGGAATTCTCTTATGAAGATATACCAGGGTTTGTCTCCAGTACAGGTAAAGCTACAACTCTCTCTGCAAATATCACTGAAAAAAGCATTTGTTTATTAAAAAAAAATTGTTGCATTTTTTCTTAAAGCACAAGGCCACGCAGGAAAACTTGTTTTAGGCCTACTTGGTGATAAAAAAACACAAACAATTTGTATGGTTGGAAGATTTCATTTTTATGAAGGGTATACAATTGAACAGATCACATTTCCTATAAGAGTTTTTAAGATGTTAGGTGTGGAAGTATTGATTGGTAAGTCACTTCACCTGCATAGAGACTATATCCGCTAGAAATTGCAGGTTGCTTAGGCATGCATAACGTATTTAATCTACTTTTTTTGAATGTCACATTTATAATTGTAAATAGCTACCAACGCGAGCGGAGCACTAAGTAGAGACTTCAAAGTTGGCACGGTAGGTATAATAAGTGATCACGTTGCCCTTCCTTGTTTAGTCGGAAACAATCCCCTACTTGGCCCAAACATCTCTGCTTTCGGAACGAGATTTCCTCCAATGTCCGATGCATACGATTATAATCTTCGTGTAATTGCATTCGAAGCTGCTAATTCCCTGAAATTTCCCAAAGAAACTTTGAAAGAAGCTATATACACTTTTTATAGTGGACCTTCGTTTGAGACCAGGGCTGAGGCAAGGTTATTTAAATCGATAGGTTGCGATTTAATTGGTATGTCCACTGTCCCTGAGGTTATTGTGGCAAGGCATTGTGGCATTAGGGTATTGGCTTTGAGTTTGGTGACTTGTATGGTAGCTATTGGGAAAGATAAATGCGCGGATCCGGCAGAACAGAATTTGGATGATATAAAGGACCCACAAGTGAGTCACGAGGAGGTACTTCAGATTGGTAAAGAGAGATCCTTAGATATGCAGAAATTGGTTGGAACTATTGTGGATTTAATCGCATCTACTTGATAATGCATTTTGATGTACTATAAATTCGTTTAAAAAACTATTTAATTGTTTATATAAAATTTATCTAATTATATGTTCTAATCTTGTTTAAATAAAATTAAAAACATTTTATTGGCCTATAAATTCATAGTACAATGCAGTGTCTGATATCTAGTGTTCTCAGTGTTCTCAAGAACGTTTAAAGAATTTGAGAACATTGTATTTCTCTTTTGAGAACCAACCAAGAGCATTAAATTTGTAATTTATGTTCTCTTTTGAGAACCAACTAAGATCATAAAATTTGTAATTTATGTTCTCATATGGCGTACATGAAATATATAATTTCTCTTTCTCTCTCTCTCTTTTTTAAGAACATTATCGTGCTTTTCAAGTTACTGTGATCATCAAATTTCATGTGTCACACACACGCGGGAATCTGAGAATCTGAGAATGTAAATATAAAAAATTCTAAAAATGAAAAGAATTTTTTTTCTAATTATCGCGCTTTTCCCACTAAAATCTTCAAAACTTTCTAAATTTACAATTTATTTTGCAAATAAACTAAATTTCTTGCCTATAAATAATATTTTCAAAATTTTCTTTATTCCCGCTTTCCTGATCCTGCACCTAGTAATACACAGGAACTGATTATTGGTATAGCTAAATAGCGATGGGAATCTTAGACTTGTTTTGAATCAAAATAAATTAAAATTGAATAATGCCAGATTGCTTATTACTACATAAAAAAAATCAGGTAAAAGTACCCCTGAAGTTATATTGAATAGTATAGGAATTCTGTTTTTCCCATTCTCCTTCCTTATTTTATTTTATTTATTTGTTTATAAGAATACAAATTACAATAAATTATACGGATTATTATACTTTTCAAATTGCTGTGACCACACATAACGCAAAAATCTGCAAAACTTCTTTAAATTTATTATAGTTTTACGAATTGCTACTTAAAATAAAATTCTAATTTTTTACGATAGTGTAATAGTATTTTATAACCAGATAAAGGTTTAGTTTATTCATTTAAATCTTTACAAACCTTGAGCGAAGTATATCAATAATATATGTTGCAAATGGAATTTTTTGATAATTGTTAGCAGGATAACTTTCCGTAATTGGTTGATCACATGAAATTGAATAACAAGTTATGATTGGCCATTCATGCATCATGTGCAACTAACTAATCAAATTACATTATACATAGTAAACTTATCGCTTTTCACTTTAACAAAAATCTTTTTAAATACATACCGCACCTTTTATACTGAACTAATATATAATGTTTAAAGATCTATTGTTTATTATACGCAGAGCACGTTATGATAAGGCTTGTTAGAGACTGTAGACATATAAAAGGTTTTAAACACTACAGTGCTATAAGTTTTCTTTCAATAACCCAGCTATATTTAACGATCTAGTAATTACATATATACATAGAAATTTCACCTTCTCAATAAGGTATTTCTAGGTGTGGGATCATTTGGGGCTATTTTGCATGGTAACTGTTAGTACTTCTTCGAAGATAGAGACGGGCTTAACAATTATTTTTACTTATGGAATATTACATTCTTAAAAAATGCTTTAAACTGTATAAATACAGAAATACATATGAAAGTTATTGACCAATCAGAAGAACGTTATTCTAAAAATACCGAAATAATTATCTACATCCTTGTTATGACATGATTTACACCCATACCTAGTTACGACTAACTTATTTACGTAAGGTACGATGGGGTTTACTAATTTTTCCCACCACTTCTACCGCTCTGATTGGTTCTACGAATTATTCATATATCGGAGTATCTACCTTATTAATCAAATTTTGATACTCCTAATAGCGAAGTGGTGGGAAAATTAATAAACCCAGGTCATAAATATTTTACTAAAAAAAGTATCGGTTGTTAGAGCTGCTGATTGCCAAGATATAACTATTACTTGCTCTCTACTATAAAAAATTACCATTCTTTTTAGAGAAATTGATTCACTAATAATTACGGCCTGAAATTAAACACAGCTAAATAGGGATGGAGATCGATTCTAAAAACCACAATCAATGGTCGATTTTCTGAGCTGATTAAATAACAATCAACAAGTTTATTGATCATTTCCAAAAAAAATCAGATTACCGAACCTTTTAGAATTTTGCTATAATTGGTTGACTTATTTTGAATATAAGATACTATGAAACTGTTTTTAGCTTTTTAGTCCGTCTCTTATCTAGATTTACGAAATATTTTGTGCTTTTTTTAGTTTTTACTTGATTTTTTACAAGATATATGAATTGATTTGAATAAGAATATTTCATTATCAATAGGGAACGTCTATTTCCACCATGAAAATTTGCTTTTCAGCTACATAAACGTAACGAGCATATCGTCATGATAAATTACGTCAACTTGTGGAAATGATATGCGTCATTTCTCCATTATGTCAATTATTAATTGACGCATGCCATTTTCAATTTGAAAATAACATACGTTTTAGGAAACCATCATGAAATCGTGCTTATATAGCTGAAAGTCATGTGAAAAGCATGGTGGAAATAGCAAATTTCATGGTGGAAACCGACGTTCCCTATCAATAATTTGTAGTTCGCTGCTCATCACATCTAATTATTGTACTCTTAAATATTTATTCATATCAATTTAGCGATCTATATCTTTTCCAAATTGTATTACATTCTTTATAAATTAATTGATAAAATCATAGTATGAAAGTTTCTATTTATAACAAATAGAGAATTTTTTTCAAATTAAACTAGATAGCTGCGAGACGTTATAGCACAAATCAGGAACGAAACCTAAAAAAGAAAAGAGTTAATTATAAGCTTGACAGCTAGATAAAATCATATGATGAATTTGCGTCTAACCGATTACTCTACCCCTCAACTGATTATTTTTTCACAATATTGGTAAATGAAGAAAAATATCGATTTACATTTTTTTCAATAAAGTTAATGTGGGCTAGGTGCTGAGAAAAGGGACCAAATTGACAAAAAAAAAGATCTGAAAATCAATTTTTATGTTATAAATCTTATAATAACAATAAATCATAAGAAAAATGCAAACTTTAAAGAGCTATACCACAAAATTTTATTAATACAATTACTTTTGTGTCTTAAGTAAAAAATGATTCTAATCTTATTTTAAATTGATTTATATAAAAAAATATCATTTGAAAAAATTGTCAATTTGGTCCCTTTTCTCAGCACCTAGCCCATGTCATTCCCATGTGCTGCTACTGTGCGAGTGACATTAACTCTGGTAAAAGAAACTTGCTGTCGTATAATTGTTGTTTCCACATCTACAGTAAATATCCATGAACATGAATAATACTCACATAATACAGTAATAAAATAATCTTATTATACAGTAGACTAATTTAATACAAATTAAATGAAAATGATTAGTTTATTTTAAGTACTTCGACTATACTGTAAATTACAGTATTATAATATTTTGATAAACGACTATTAACTATAAATAAAAATAAAATAAGAAATGAATAGATCATAAGCTATGTCAACGTGAATAAGAATAAAAAGAAAAGTCCGGACTTCGATCATATAAATTTTATATGGACTAAGTGGTTTTCCCTCGGTGTCATTAAATAAGTGTTAGCATACCTTTGAATAACCGATTGAAATAGCAAATAAATCAATACAAAAAAACTGAATGTAAACAAATTTATCTTTGAATGATCAATATTAAAGAAATTGAATAAGAAATTATCTGCACTGATTAAATCAATACGAATAATAAGATACGTAAACATAACAACTTGTCACTACACTTATTGAAGCACTTATTGAAATAATTGGAGAAATACTTATGTATTAATCAGGTCGTGGGCACTAATGTCGTATCTATGAAATGTTTTATAATCAGTGATAGAGTTCTTTATTAAAACCGGGTTCCTAACTTTAATCAGTGATAATAAATACTATATAGAAAAATGAAAAATGACAAATATCCCGTGAAAATTGAATCGGGCCACTAATATTTATGTCTGAAAATCATGCTTTTGCTATCATTTATTACAACATTCGAATATAAGAATTTTAAAACTTAATTGTGAAACAGATCATGAGAAAATGGATTCAGGTGTGGATCAAATTGTGCCCTGTATACACAGAAAAAAGTATTATATATGCCCTGTTATGGTGCTACGTGTGAAGTTTCTGAATTCATATCCCTGCTTTGCCACATATATTATCAAATAAAATGCAGGATTTTGCAGACACTGTAACCTGTTGGATATAAATGATTTGCTTGTATTAAAAATCCCATGAAAGTTAACAAAATTTAAGATAAGTATACGTGTGGATTCAAAGAATTGTGTTACGATTAGGATAGAATCTTTTACTAATGTTTATTTATATTATTTTATTAGGATCGATTTATAATTGATAAAAGAACTTTAACAACGTTTTATGAGAAAAACAATATTTTAACGTATACTGAATTCGGGTCTTTATTAAGATAAGTAAACCAAAAAAATGCTATTGTACTAATAACACTAACTAAGACTAACTCTATACTATTGTCATTATTTAGATATATTACCACGAAAGTCATTAAAGGGAAGTTGTTTTCTAACCTAAGGGAGTTCGACTTGCCCCTATCTTTGCCCAGAGAGGCATTCCTTATACATTTTTCTTTACCCTGATAGTTCGAAACTTTTACCCAATAGTTTCTAACTTTGCATCCGTTAGTTTCTAACTTTTGTACATTAGTTACTAACTTTCTATTTTCCTTACTTTAGTTATTAACTCTTCTACCGGTTATTATCCAACTCTAATAGTTCGAAACTATCGGTAAATCCAATTTCGAAACTCTTAATCGATGTGGCCTACCGTTTTCGTATCACAGACCCCAAAATCAAAGATACAAAATAAGGTGTCTCAGAAATTATGAAAACAGCCATAATATGAAATTTTATTTTCATTATAGAAATTATTTAGACAGCAAATCTTCTAAGGGAGCAATGAACGTTCTCTACATTAC